AGATGAATCTGAATTATCTGAACGGCCCTACATCCAAGCTCAAGTGTCCTTCGAAGGGAGGGGCAGAGACACACATAGAGGAGACGACTGTGTGCCTACAGAGTCTGGAGTCATGTGGCCACCTGTCTGGGACTGCAGGAAGTCTCTCGAAGCTAGAAAAGGCAAGAACACAATCTCCTCTAGACCCTCTGCAGAGAGTGATTACAGGCCCTTCACCTTAATTCATACACTTTGGGCCACCAGACTGTGACAGAACAAATTTCTGCTGTTTAAAGTCACCAAGTTGGGGACGTCCCTGGTGGTCCAGAGGTTATGATTTTACCTTGCAATGCAGGGTCCATCCCTGGTTAGTAAGCTAAGATTCCACATGCCTTCCGGCCAAAACAACAACAGCAACAACAACAACAACAATGTAAACAACAGAAGTGGTATTGTCACAAATTCAGTTTTGCATACGAAGTCACTTCAGCCAAGTCCGATTTTGTGCCACCCCATGGACTGTATCCCGCCAGGCTCCTTCGCCCGTGGGATTCTCCAGGCAAGAATACCAGAGTGGGTTGCCACGCCCTCCTCCAGGGGATCTTCCCGACCGGGGATCGAACCCACATCTCTCACAGCTCCAGCACTGGCAAGCAGGTGTCACCAGTGCCACTTGGGCAGTCCAACAAATTCAATAAAGACTTAAAAAATGGTTCACATAAAAAAAAAAAACCCTTATTTTAAATGAAGTCTCTAAGTTTATGATAATCATTGATAGCAATTACAGGAAAGTAATACACTCATCCTGCCTCTCCTAGAAAACAAAAACAAAAAAACAAAGCGAAAGAAAGTAGTGAGGCCCCTCTCACGGAACACAGGAGCACCTACATCCATCCACGCCTGGTCCATGGTGCTTCTTCATAGGAAGCCCAGGGGATGAGGGGTGGGGTGTGTGGGTGGGGTGCAGCCTGCTGGCCCCTCTGTGAGGTCCAGGCATGCCCTCGGTTTGCCACAGCCTTGTGCCTGACCTTGGATCTGGGATTCTGCTCATGTTTTCCTGACCCCAGGGCTCTGTTCTTGCCTCAGCAATAAATAGGAAGATTGTTGAGAGGAGGTATGCAAAGATAATTAACACAAGATCTCTGGAGTGAAAGCTCTCACAGTCTGAAAGAGGGGATAGATATTTAAATAAAAACATTTAATATGCTAATAGGTGAAAAAAACAGCTCAGAAAACTAATTTGTTATCCTGATAGATTTTTTAAATTAAGCTTCCTGTTTTGAGATCATTGTAAATTCATATGTAGTTGTAAGAAAGAACATAGAGAGATATCACGTACTCCTAACCTAATTGCCCCAATGGTAACATCTTGCAATCCTGTAGATGTTATCACAGCCAGGAGAGTGACGTTAAAACAGTCAAGACACAGTCCGTCAATTCAAGGATCTCTTGCACTGACCTTTTATAACCATACCTACCAACTCTACCGGGATATCCTATGGACAGACAAGCCTGGTGGGCCACAGTCCATGAGGTTGCAAAGACGCCAGACACAACTGACTTAGTGACAAAACAACAACAGAACACCAACTCTACTCCTTGCTCCTGACTTCTGCAGCCACTCATCTGTTCTCCATTTCAAGAATGCTATATAAATAGGATCACATAGTATGCAACCTTTCAGGCCTGGGTTTTTTTATTTCACTCAGTATAATTCCTCAGAGATTCAGTCAAGTCGCTGCATGTGTCAACGATATGTTCCTTTTCACTGCTGAATAGTATTCCATGGTGGGGATATACCATGGTCTATTTAACCACTCACCCACTGAAGGCCCCTGGGTTGTTTCTCGTTTTTCATTATTAAATAAAATTGTTAGGAACTTTTGCGCGAACATGCTTTCACTTTCCTAGCATAAACGCTCAAGACCACAATTGCTGAGTTATATGGTAGTGGTATGTTTAGTTTTGCAAGAAAAGGACAAACTATCATTGAGAATAGCTGTGCCATTTTAAATCACCACCAGCAATGTATGAGGGATCCTTTCCAACACTTGGTATTATCACTATTTTTTGTTTTTTTGCCAATAGATGATTTTTATCTGGGCATAGTTGTATCAGAACGAGGGAAAGTGGAAATAATGCAAAATTGTGAATCAGGGATAAACTCATAGAAGACATGGAAAGAGGAGTATGGATTAGTTGAGGCCAGTAAAGATGCCTCAACAAAGGAGAGAATTTCAGCTGGGTGGGCATTGATCTGATATTGCTTATTCCTGCAATGTCTCCCATCTCTTCTTTCTCACTCAGTATATCTGGCCTTGTTTCAGGTTCTCTACTCAAACCTGTTCTTTACAGCCTGGCTCTTTGTCAGCTGGTATTTATTAGCTTACTCATCACCTCTTCAGAGAAGCCCTCCAGGACCACCCTAGCTCAGTAGAATTTTCTTCCACCCACTCCCATCATTCTCTTCTTTTGTGGGATGCCCTATTTGATCCTTTCATCATGCCTGTCCCCATTTGTAAGTATGTAATAATTTATTTACTTCTTTTTAAAAGCTTCAAGCCTAAGAACAGGCTTCATTCCCAAAAGATCATCAGAATCCAACTCAGTCCTTAGCTTCTAAAAGAGCTCAACAAACAACTGTTGAATGAGCGATTGAGTGATGGGGAAACAGACACCCCAAATTGAGGAACTTAGCATTTCACTTTACAATTCAAGAGACTAAATGTGTAAAGGGTCCTTTTCTGTTAGCCCAGTTTAGAAGGTGTGTATGTATGTAGAGGTAGAGGGTAGATTTCTCTGTTCATTTGAGATTTTAAAAAGTCACTCATCTCTTCTGTTCACCTTCTAAAATCCATATCTTTAATAACGATAAAGCCCAAGGTTTCTAACCTTAATCAACTTCCTATTCTAGCAGGGAAATGAGTAACTATAATATGAAGTAGAGAGAATTGGGCTTCCCAGGTAGCACTAGTGGTAAAGAACCTGCCTGCCAATGCAGGAAACATAAGAGATGTGGGTTCGGACCCTGAGTTAGGAAGATCCCCTGGAGTAGGAAATGGCAACCCACTCCAGTATTCTTGCCTGGAAAATTTCATGAACAGAAGAGCCTGGTGGGCTACAGTCCATGGGGTCACAAAGAGTCAGACACCACTGAAGAGACTTAGTAGGCACATGCACACATTAAGAATTAAGATACAAGACAGGACTAAAAACAAAGAACCATGGTCAGAGAAGACAGGCAGTGAAGGCTTCCTGTGCTAGAAACTGGGGCGGCTTTTTGGAGGAGGTAGTGTTTTAACTGGATTTGAAGAACTCATGGCATTTAGACAATTAGTCATGGCAAAGGAGCATTTCGGTTCTATATAAAGCATTCGGATACATTTTTCTTCTTTTGTCAGAATCTATTTCTCTTAAAAATGAATCTAATTCCTGTCAATGAGCAGTGTATTGCAGGAGCTGACTTTAGGTACCACAGAAATGAATTCTTCAATACTGAACCTCAGTACTATCAACACATGTCTCTGATACTTGGACATCTTTCCCCCCTATACATTTAGGAATTTTCAGTAAGTTTTTGGGTTCCTTTGTTTCATCCTCTAGGGATAGTTATATCTGAACTAGACAAGAAGAATCTGCAGAGGGTCCCATAAAAACCCAAAGACAGCTGTTTAATTTTCCCGAAGTCTACAGGTTCAGGAGGGCATAAGTCTGAGCAAAGTGGGTATTGCCTAAATGTGGTTTGAGAGCAGGGCAGTCAAGATGCCCCAAATGTGTGCACAGAGCAAGGTGGCGTTAGCCAGGGTAGGCAATGTTTGGCCGTTCCTTGAGATTCTCTTGTTTTCTGTTCCTCTCCATATGGAGAGGAATGAGACTGAGCAAGGGAATGAGACTGGTGAATTCAGGTCATTGTCTCTGACAAGAAACTCTGACCCTCTCTTTCTCTGAGTCTAGAACTTGCTGTTTAAATGCTGGCTATTGCGTTTCTGCCACTTTGCAGTGTTATTTAGGTTATCACATGCAGTTCCACACTGGGGAGTTTTTTCTATCTATTAAACGATCTTTCTACTACCTATTTACCATCCTTTCTATTTATCTTTCTCTTCGGCTTCCCTGATAGCTCAGTTGGTAAAGAATCATCCTGCAATGCAGGAGACCCTAGTTTAATTCCTGGGTCAGGAAGATCTACTGAAGAAGGGATAGGCAACCCACTCCAGTATTCTTGGGCTTCCCTTGTGTCTCAGCTGGTAAAGAGTCTGTCTGCAATGTAGGAGACCTGGGTTTGATCCCTGAGTTCAGAAGATCCCCCTGGAGAAGGGAAAGGCTACCCATTCCAGTATTCTGGCCTGGAGAATTCTATGGATTGTATAGTCCATGGGGTCGCAAATAGTCAGACACAACTGAATGACTTTCACTTTCTCTCTCAATTATCTATTTAACTAGATATGACCAACAGTGCTGAAAATAGCAGATACTGCCTTCAACCTTGAATTGGCTATCTGTTGTCTGCTGGCTATGTGTAATCAACAAATGTGTGGGTCTTTTTTTTTTTTTTCGTGGACATGAAAAGTGTTTTTATATAATTTGTATTAGTGGCCAAGATTTAAAAAAAAAAGGAAATTTCAGATATACAATTCCAGGCGTCTCCAGTCAAATGAGAAGGTGTGGACACACCATACGGACTCTTCCAGGTGGTCACAAACAACTGCAATGTGGGGCCCCTCTGCTGAACGGCCACGGGCTCCCCAGGTTGCCACAGTGTCAGTCGCTGGCTGTGTCACTTCATTTGGAGGCTATCATCAACCACAGCTTGCGGCATTAGAAAGTCCTGGGGGAGTAACTTGGTATCTTCATTCTTTTCTTAGTACAATGATATTGTGAGGTCTTGTGAATTACTGCAGCAATACATGATTGCTTTAAAACAAAGAGTACAGATGCGTAAGCATTCACAGTTAGACAAGTGCTCTAATAACTAACACTGCAGCTAATGACATCAGCCTCCTGCGGTTAGGTCGGGGTTGATGGAATTATCTGAATTGGTTCCGAAGGCCCCTTCTATTCATGACCTTTGCCATCGGCTTTACAGCTCCCCCTGCTGGCAGTGGAATACACGGCCCTGGAGCTTAGACTTCGGTATCGGCCACGTGATCTGTGTTGGGCGTAAAAGTACAGGCCACAGTGAAAGGGTTCCAGCTCATCCTCCCGTCCGCCCTGCCATCAACAAGGAGATGATGATGGAGCACGAGGCGGTCCTTCCAGAAGACCGCTGCCCCAGGTCTGGGCTCCAGAAGGAAGACACTAGAGCTGACTCTGGTGCCCCCTCCCTGCCACCTGTGGTGAGGAGCTGGGTTGGGCTGGACCCACCTCCTGAAGCAGAGGTGCCCAGATGATCCCTTCCAGGAGCAGCCCACTGTCAGCCAACTCAGAGAACACATGTTAACATACATGTTAACTGCATGCCGTGAAATGCAATGCAGCCTCAAAGTGAAAGTGTTAGTCGCTCAGTCATGTCCAACTCTCTGTGACCCCATGGACTATAGCCTGACAGGCTCCCCTGTCCACGGGGTTCTCCAGGCAAGAGTACTGGAGTAGGTTGCCATGCCCCCCTCCAGGGGATCTTCCCGACCCAGGGACTGAACCCGTGTCTCGCATTGCAAGCAGATTCTTTACCATCCAAGCCACCAGGGAAGCCCTTAGAATGGGGGTTGGAGGTTTGGGATGTCACTTGCCTCAGCTGCGAGGCAGGTATGGCTAAACCATCTATGAGCGGGGCTGCCTGAGGAAAGAGGAAGTTCTAAGCTCACAGGAACGACACTTCACTTCCCAAGAGAGGCAGAAATGAACCTATTTTACAGCTCTGTGATTTAAGACCTTCCTTCTCCTTTCCCACATGCACCCAGTCTGCAGACACAAGGAAATCTTCTTGCCCCACAGACGTAAAACTACATCTCTTGGAAGTGTTAGCCATCGCCTCTTTTCCTTTTTTTCTTGGAGCAATTTAGAGACAGCCTTTCCTTCTGTAATTTTCTTCCAGGCTTTACCAGAACTTATGAGCGTGGCTTCCAAGACCATGCAGGCTTATTAAAGCAGCTGCTTACAAATGAATAAATAAAAAATAAGGAAGTGGCCATCTCCTATCAAAGACAAATGACCTAATTTTGTTAGCGGGATCATGTTGTAAGGTCAGCTTTATTTTCCTGGAGCCCAGAGAGCATTACCATTCATGAAATTTTATTGGTTATTTGACATCTGTAGACACTCAACTCTTTCCCCAATACATGATTCATAGGGGCCAAAGTCTCTGAGCGTTTCCGCATCAGAGCTCTGATCTTACATCCCGGAAGCTCTCCAAACAGCTCCCCGGGTTCTTCCCCCACCCGGGGTGTCACACGTTTTATATCCCATTTGCTGGGGGCTTGTTTCTCTCTTTCTCATTACGACCCAGCTGTCATCGGGTGGAACACGATGCTGCCTCCTGTTTCCCATTGTCCACGGATAATGGTTGAGGAAGTCAGGGTTTCAGGCAACACAACTTGCTCTTTAGGAGTCATCTTTACTTGGTTAACTGGGCCAAGCCCAGAGGGAGTCCACTTTTCCCGAAGACACGACTCTGGGGCTCACTGAGACTGCTCATCTAGTAAGGGATAAAGGTGTCACAGACACTCAGAAAAAGCACATCTCATTTCTCCTCTCCATTCTTCAATTCAAGAGAGACGTATTGGACTTCCCCAGTGGTCCAGTGGTTAAGAATCCACCTGCCAAGGCAGGGGACATGGGTTCGATCCCTGGTCCAGGAGGATGAAGGGGCAGCTAAGCCTGTGTGCTGTAACTACTGAGCCGACTCGGGCTGAGAGTCTAGGCTCTGCAACCAGAGAAGTCCCTGCAGTGAGAAGTCCACGCGGCACGATGAAGAGCAAGCCCCACTCACCGCAACCAGAGAAGGCCCGCTGGCAGCCACAGAGACCCAGTGCAGCCAAAGACAAACAAGTAATTAAATTTTTAAAAAAGAGAGAAAGATGTGCCAAGGGTCCCCTACGTAGGAGGCACCGGACCAGGCAATGTAAGCATGAAAAATACAGCGCTTCACCTTGATGGAGCAGGCACTGCAGTGGCAGAGCCAGATGAGTCGTAGGGACGGGCACAGATTACACGTGGTGATGTGGGCACTGCAGAAGCAAAGAGCCTGACCTCTGTGATACCCGAGGAAGGAGCACCTCCTGTTGATGGTCTCTGAGAAGGGGACACTGAAAGCTGAGCTATGAGAATGAGAAGGAACATCCATGCGGAACTGGGACTGAGATGACCCCAGCGTGGATGGAGAGCACAGAGTCTTTGCGGGAGGATGTCCAGGGGGCTGTGCTGGAGATGCAGGGGCTGCCAAGAGTAAGTGTGACCCTTGACAATTTCTCCAACAGGACCTGGAAACCACTGAAGGGTTGGAAGCCAAAGAGTAAGCTGATGATTAAGAACATTCCTCCAGGGACTTCCCTGGTTATCCAGTGGTTAAGACTCCAAGCCCTCAGTACAGGGGTCCAGGGTTTGATCCCTGGTCAGGGAGCTAAGACCCTGCATGCTACATGGTGCTGCCAGAAAAAGAAAATATTCCTCCAGAAGCTGTGGGGAGAGTAGGTTTAGGGGCAACAGGGTAGGTAGGTAAAGCAGTTAATAGGCCACTGCAGCCGTTCAGGGATGAGGTGATGATGGCTTAGATGATGATGGGGTAGAGGAGAGAACAAGTAAAAAGTGAATGCATCACTGAGAAAGAGCTCTGCCAAAAATGGTGCATTTTTTGATGGTGAATAGGCTACCCACTCCAGTATTCTTGGGCTTCCTGGTGGCTCAGATGGTGAAGAATTCACCTGCCATGTGGAAGACCTGGGTTCAATCCCTGGGTTGGGAAGATCCCCTGGAGAAGGGAAAGGCTACCCACTCCAGTACTCTTGCCTGGAGAATGCCATGGGCAGAGGACCCTGGTGGGGGCGACAGTCCAAGGGGTCACAAAAAGTCGGACACCACTGAGTGAGTAAGCCCAAGCACAAGCCATCATGATCCATGATCCACGCAGCCCCTGGGATTTGGATGAGATAGATGGAAACTTGGGTGATGTTCTTCCTTATTCTTAGACACTGGGCCACACCTAGGGGTTGTGAAGGCATTGAGGAGACAAACAGTTCAGGAGTGCTTTATCCTGGGGCTCAAATCCTATTTCTATTATTGATTACTCACAGGGCAGAAGAGTCAAGGGGACATCCCCGAATCCACTAATTTGTCTTTCTGCAAAGAGGAGGCACCAGGAAAGCATTGTTATCTGAAAGCAGTAAGCCACTCTAAGATTAGAATTTTTTTTTCTTCCTGGGACTTGTGTTTTTCTAACCACTGTTTGCCCGATGAGAGCAACCATAACCACTGCGCTTGACACCATCCTTGGTGAGCTGGGTACTTCTGTCAAACTTGGCAAAATGTCCTCAAGGGGAAGGAGAAGGCTTTGTCACCCAGTCTTGAAACCCAAGAGGTATTCACTCTCACAGACTATTTCACTTGGAAAAGCATTTCCTTAAAATGTGTTTTCAGACCAACCAAAAAAACAACCCAGAAACAACCTGAATACCCATCAGCAGGAAGGAGACTGGTTAAATCGACTATGATACGGCCATACACTGATACCCTGGAATGCTTCACAGCCATGGGAAGGAAGGAGATGCATTCGTATGCACCCACTGTGCAGGACAGAAATGTATAATCTGATTTTTTTCCAAACACAAACACAGGTATATATGTAGAATTAGGTCAGCAAAGTTGCCCTAAGTAGTGAACAATCTCCAGGTGGTTGAATTAAGGAGGAAGTGTTTCTTCTCTATGTAAGAAGGAAGTATTTGTGTTTGCAAAGGTGGACATGAGTTGCTTCTCCAATTGGGGTGGGGGGGAGAATGATATATGCTTTTATTTATTTAAAGAAAAAAGATATGCTACTGAAACTATACCATGTCTTATGTATTTCCTTACTGAAGTTATTCAAATGGCTAGCATCCAGCTAAAAAACTGCTCTTGAGCTGCATTCGAATGAAGAGAGTGAACTTCATCGGCTTCCACAGAGAACATAGAAACTGGAGGCGTAGGTGGGCTGCCATCCACTTTCAGGAAGGTTCAGTCCCTGAGGTTTCCCCATTGTTTTCCCCAGAGGGCTTTGGCACTCCTTACAACTCAAGAGTCAGCAGCAACCGAAAGCATTTTTGAGGGTTTCGAGAGCAAATTTAGCTCCGGAACTGTGGGTGGACAGCTTGCGGGAGAGGAGCCCCATGGTAAGACCTGTCTCATCGGCCCAAGGTTAGACAGCTCTGAAAATCATCCAAAACTATAGAGTTACTGACTCTCCATTCCCAGGCACACTTCGAGGCTTTTACCTTCAAGCAAACACAAGGAAAATAAAAATGGAAAACAAGTGTCAATTAAAACACCTTGTGGTTGCTTTTTGGCTTTTTGGTGCAATTATGATATTTCAAGTGGATCCCTGTCTAACACGGTTGAAAGAAAGATATCTTTCAGTTTCTGAAGACATGAGCTTGCAAACTAAACCTCATGTCTTCCTTTCATTTCACAAAGAATTGTCAATAGAACTCCTGTATTATGGTCACAATGCTATAATTATAATGTTATAATTAAATACTATAATGATGATCATATTAATACTCTATTAAAGAAGACTGCTATTATGCTCAATATTTGATGAAGGAATGGCAGAATGAATGAGAATCCATAAATGCAGGAACCAGTGAGGGAATGAATGGAAAAATCAATCAATCAATCAATCAATGTCAGAGATGGCTCAATTTCCCCTCACACCCTGAAGTTGGCTTCTTATTTTTAAGATTAACTTCCAATGTATTCCAGAGGACTAATACATGGACAATGCTTCATTTTAAAGAAATAAGGATTTCTTTTCCTTCTAGCACTTCCAGTGATTAGCAGTACTTTTATGCACCTTAACTGACAAAATGGTGTTTGATGATTATCATGAAAGGTAAACTCACCAAGGAGGAAACGGGTCATTTTAATAGTATCGATGAATGTTTTACTATTCAAATTTGTGGTAGGTTCATGGATATGCAGATGACACCACCCTTATGGAAGAAACTGAAGAGGAACTAAAAAGCCCCTTGGTGAAAGTAAAAGAGGAGAGTGAAAAAATTGGCTTAAAAAAAGTTGGCTTAAAGCTCAACATTCAGAAAACTAAGATCATGGCATCTGGTCCCAACACTTCATGGGAAATAGATGGGGAAACAGTGGATAGTGTCAGACTTTATTTTTTTGGGCTCCAAAATCACTGCAGATGATGATTGCAGCCATGAAATTAAAAGACGTTTTACTCCTTGGAAGGAAAGTTATGACCAAC